GGCCAAGAAGCCCAGGAATGGCCTATTCTCTGCAGCCAAAGGGCACCAGACAATGCCTTTAGGACTACCTGGCCCAAAATAGTCCAGAGTGGGGCACGAGGTTTGAGGTTAAGGCCCAGATAAGGCCTCCCCGCTCCAAATACCAGACCTACAACCAGCCCGCAGTTGGTCCCAGGGTCATGTCCAACCCAGGCTGCCAGACTCACATGTTGCCCCTCTGCCTCCTGGGTGGTAAGTATTAGGGAGTGCCACAGCTCTACCCATGGGCGCATGGCCGATGGAGTGGGCATCTCTGCCCAACATCAACAGGGACCTCCATAACTAACAAGATCCAATGTGGCTGCACACCCAGAGCAGGGCAGAGAGGGGACCTGCCATACATCACCTCAGTGGACCTTCTGCAAGCCTATAGAACAAACCAGCTGTGTCCAGTTCACAGGTAAGCTTAGGTGATTTGCTCACATGGCTCAGTTGGGACAGGGCAGAGAACTGACTCCAGCGATGGAGCATGGTGTACAGGACCCTCCCTTATCCCATACCTTCCCTACAGGTTTCCACTCCTTTCCCACCCTGGCCTCCTGGAACATCACAACCACCTGCTTAGCTCTCCCGACCCTGCAGGTAAGAGAAATGCAGCAGAGGGTGAACTTGGACCTGCAGTTCCCAGCAGCCTTACCCTCTCTGAGCGCCACACTCCCCGCACTCAGGAGCACAGGCCACACCCAGCTCCCAGGAAGCTCTTGGCAGTGACTGATGAGCACTTGATCACTCATCATTGCCATATCCAGCTCATCAGCAGAGGTGAACTCATCTGTCAATCCACTGCCCAGCACCAGGGGCCCCTTTCCCTCCATCCTCTCCTCGTGCCCAGTATGGGCCCCCAATGCACTGCAGGGTATCCAGGGTCCTAAACTGGCTAACACTGCATAGACTCCAAAGAAAGGATGGGGCCATGCCTTCCTCCCCATCCCATGCAAAGGAGCCAGCATTCCTGACAATTCTCAGCCCACAGACTTCCAGATCTAATCAAGAAGCAAACACAAAAAAGCAAATCTCTAAACATTTAGAAAACGCGGGAACCCTGTGCCCCACGCAGCACCGTGGGATTTATAAAGAACAAATCATGCCTGACAAACTTGATAGCTTTCTTGATAGAATTACAAGACTGGTAGATGAAGGAAATGCAGACAGGGTAATATATCTTGATTTTAGCAAAGCATTTGATACAGCGCCTCAAGTAATCTTACAAAATTAATTCAAACAGACTCGGCCCCAAGCACTTGTTATGGAGCCTAAATGCAAGAGTGGGGCAGATCCCAAGGGCCCACGGGTGGAAGAGGCAAGTCAGGGGGTGGGGGGAGGAAGGGGCTGAAAAGCAAAGAGTCTGGGAGTGGGGGCAGGGCTGCCCAGCCCCTGCGCTGGGTCACATCTTATCTAAAGTCTTCATTAATGACCCTGAGAGAAGGAGTAAACAGTCCGTTAATGAAATTTGCAGAGGATATTAAACTGGAAGGTGTTGTGAACACCAATGAGGACAGTAAAGTGCTCCAGAGAGACCAGGGGGGACCTTGGCAGGACACAGAGCTGGCAGGGGTATTAGGCAGAAAGCTTCTTGGAAGGCTAGGGACGAGGGAAGGCCATCTCCAGGGCTGGTGTGGAACTGGGAGAGGCCACAGGTAGCTTAGGTTTTGGCTAAACAGGCAAAACCCAGGAATTTCAGTTTTTCCATCTGTAAAATAGAACGCTTTGCAGCTCTGAGAGCAGATAGTGATGGGAATAAGGGCAACTTTAGGGATCTTGGAGCTGAAGCCCACTTTATAAGAGAGGAAGTCTGCAGGCCAGGGGGCGGGGCTGCAATGAGAAGGTCTGGGGAGGAAGACTCAGACTAAGCCATCACTAGCACCCCCAAATCTACATAGGTCACACTCCCTGACACTGCTGGGGCTGGCACTGGTGGAGTCAGCCTTCTTCCTGCTCCCCTGCACCCCCAACTGCACAGACTGTGGAGCACGCTGGCCGCACACAAGCAGTAGACGTCCCAATCTGGGAGCCTGGCATGGAGTCCCTAAGCCCGCTTTGGGGCTTCTCTAGCCAGATAGGCCAGCCACCCCAGGATCAGAGAAGATGGTCTGCCCCTTCTCTCTGTCAGAGACAGCCCACCTCTGCTTGGATCTCTTCTGTCCCTTTCCCTCTGACCCAACCCCAGGGGGGCTCAGTGGTCAGCCCTCCCGCAGGAGCCAAGGCAGGAAGCCATCCATCAGGACTTGGAGGGTTTGTTCCCACAAGGGAACAGGTAGGGTCTGAACAAGAGCCAACGATGCCGAGTAGCATGCTGGACCCTGTACAACTAGAAATAAATGTTCTGTGAGACTGGATGAGTGGTTCCCCACAGGGTTCCTGACTGCTGAGGGGGCTCTTCCAAAGCATGCCAGCCCAGGCAGATGTCAGGACTACCACTGGAATGGCAGGGGGGTCCAGGAAAACCAATACCCTGACTTCACGAGTAACAATGACGCTCACCGAACACTTATATGGTACATTTCACCTATTAACGTATTTGACCTTCACAAGCCTATGCAGCAGGTGTTCTCATGGTCCCCACTTTACAGAGGAGGTATGAGAGGTGGCCACTAGCCCTGGCACACAGCCAGAAGGCATGGGAGCAGCAGCCTGCCTGCTAAGCGGGTTCAGAGGGGACACCCTAGTGGATAGGAATGGCAGTCCTTTTTATGGGGAGTCCAGAGCCTTGCCCATCCATGGTCCCCATGGAAAGGAGTTGGTCCAACTCCTGCCAACTTGTGGAACCTGATTTTACTATATGTTTCCCTTCTCCCCCACCAGCATCACCGCCTCGCTACACCGAGTCCTCAGAACAAGTCTGTTTCCATGGAAACCATACAGTGACTCAGGGCTTCGGGACCTTCTCTGATCCAGATTACGAATATCAAATGCTACCTCCCCACACCAATGCAGAGTGGAGTTGGGAAAGTAAAGAGAGGCCCACAGTGTGGCAGCAGGGGCAGCAGGTGGGCAAGAGGAACCTGGGGGGCACAAACCTGGCGTCACTGAAGGCGTGGTACTGGGATCCCCTGCAGAGTCAGTGGAATAAAGATGAACCCCCCTCCTCCATGGCAGCCTGACATACACCCTACATCCACACCCTCGGCCCCACCCTCCTCTGGAGCTAGGGCCCGTGAGGAGGGGCAGGGGGCTCTGCTCCCCCTCCTCTGAAGTGGAGTCTGCACATGGCAAAGGGGGCTCAGGGGCCAGGGCAGAGGGAAGCTGTCTGCTTCAGGAAGAGCTCGCTTTGGGTGCTGAGACCCAAACCTCCAGCCCAGAGCACGGCTCAACAAAGAAGAGCATGTAGATTTGGGGGTGCAGGTTCTGTTTTGAGGTGGAGGCTGGGTGTTAAGTGAAGGGGAACAAGGGTTGTTATTTTAAAGCCCCAGCAGGAGCTAGGAGGATAATTAGCCAGGGTTTCCTCTCCCTTGTGCACCCTTCTCTTCCCCTCCCCACCACCCTGGCCTGGCCTAGAGCCACTAACCCCCCAGGATTAGGGAAAGCAGCAGGCAGTGAAAGTTGCAGTGCCAGGTTCCTGCAGGGGTCTGAGGCCCAAGAGCAAATCCACCCCCTCTTTTCCCCAGCAGCTCCCTAAAGAGCTAAGAGGGAGGGGAATGGATTAGGTTGGAAGCTTGATACCTCCCTGGTGGATCCAGTGTGTGAGTCATGACGGTGAGAGCACTTTGGAAAAAAAAAAAAACGGGGTCATGGTGATGCCTGAAAGTGCTGCTAAGGGCTGGAGCCTGGGCGCTGCCTACCTGGTAAGGTCTCTACCTGAGACAGCCCAGCCCCCCCAAGGGATGAAGGAACCCCGGGAGGTAGCTAGCTTCCTGGTATCTGGTCCCATACCTGCTTCCCTCTTGCACCTACTAGTCCCTTTGGCTTTCCCAAGAAGCTTCTTTCCCAGCGAGGGTGCCTGCCTCCAGCAGAGATCCTAGGTCCCTGCTGCCCCCTGCTCCCACCAGCCCTCCAGAAAACGCTAGGCTGAATTTCTGTCCTTGACTGGGCACCGTCTCCCCAGCCCCAGCCTCCACCTCTCTGTCAAAGGCCCAAGCCCATCCTCTGGCACCTGGATCCCAGAAGCCACCTTCCTAGGAGACTCCTGCTTAGGAGTGTTTAAGTCCATCAGGGCGATGCCAGCCAGAGCCCAGGAACCTAACCCTGAGAAAGGGCAGGCCTGGGATGGGAAGGAGATAACGCACAGTGGTATCTAAAATCAGATCAAGGTGCCGCCCTAGGAGGACCCTGGGACCTTGCTTTTCCCAGGTAGCTTAGCCTTTTAACTCCTAGCATCCCAGGGCTGCTCTGGGCTGTTACTGTGTAAGGCAAACATTGGATCCCTGGGGCTTGGGAGGAGCTGCTCCCCCAACCCATCCATAAAAGAGCAGAGGGTTGTTCTGCTTCCCGTAGGGAGTATGGGCTCTGCACCATCAGGGAACCCCGACCCCATAGGGACCCAGCTCATCACAGCCTTGTGGGTGCAGCGCAGAGCTGAGAGCAGGAAGCGGGGGTAGCTCGGGCTTGCGGGTGCAGCCCTGGTTTGGAAAGTTAGAGCAGGCTCGGGGATCTCAGGGTTTCTAGGTTCCTCGGCACCTCGAGTCAGGCAGGCTGTGGGGCGGTGAGCCCGGAGCAGCCCCCAAGTGCGCTCCGCAGCAGAGGGAAGCCAGGCACCTCCCGGGCTGCGCGCGTCTCAAGTTTGCTGCCCTCCCCCAAATGGGGGCGGGGAGGGCTGGGGTGATCGCGGCGCTCACCGGTCACCAGCCCTGGCATCCCTTTCCAGGATCCAACACACCGCCGTCCCCCCGCCATCCCCCGCTGCGCACCGCTGGCAGCGACTGTCCCCGAGCGGAGGGGCGTCTCCCACCGCGCCCGCGCCCCTCCCGGCTGCTGCGGCGGAGTCCGCTGCCTCCCGCCCCGGGGCCCCGGGGCCCGGCCGATACCTGGTCGGGGGCGCGCCGGGAGCCGCTGCAGCGCCCAGCGCCGGCTCCATCCTCGGATCTGGAGTCAGGCTCGCCGGGGGCCCGTGGGTGGCGGCGGCGGCGGCGGCGGCGGCGGCATCCTCCGCCTCCCGCGCCCTGCTCCTCGGCCTCCCTCCTCTTCCTCCGCCTCCGCGCGCCCCTCACGGGCCGCTCTTCATGGCCCGGGGGTGCAAGCCCGGGGCGGCTCGAGCAGCACCGTGCGTTCACCAGGGCAGAGCGCGGGATGGGGATCCGAGCGGTTCCGGGCCAGGGGCCGCGATCCGGAGCGCCGCAGCCCCGGGCACCGGAGAACAGCAGCCGCAGGCGCTGGAGCTTCACGGAGCGCCCGCCTCGCGTCCCGGAGTCAGGAGCAGCGGCGGCGGCAGCAGCGGCGACTTCAGCGCCAAGCGAGCGGCGGGCGCTGCGGTCCCGGCTCCACCCCCAGAGCCGCCCGCCCCCAGCGCCGCCCGCCCCCTCTCCTCCACCCGGTCCGCGCGCGCCCCCCCCACCCCACCGCGCCGCCCCAGCCGCGATCGCCGGGGACACCCCAGGCAAGGATGCGGGGCTGACCCCAATCCGTGGGCGGGGAGGGAGGGGGGACAGCCACGCCCACCCCATAATGGGTAGATGGGCGCTGCCCACCCGCATTTCTTCCCTAACCCTCCCTCCCTCCCGCCACCCCAACCACCAGGGTGCTGCTCTCAGCGCGGCCAAAGCCTTTCACCTGAGCGCTCCACTCCAGTCCCCGAAGTGCGGCTGGAGCCCCAAGCTGGCCCTTCCCCAGCCAGAATAACTAGGGACTCCAGAACCATAGCCAACTACCTTTCAGTGCCAGTCCCGTCCCGTGTTCCCCCCCACACCCCCCACACCCCCCTCACATCCCAGGCCTGTCTTCTTCCCAATGAATCATTTGCCTTGGCTCCCGGTTGTCCCTCTTGGGCAGGGTCAAGAAGTGGTGGCTTACTGGGACATTAAAGTGCGTTTGCTGGCAGATGTCTTCCACCGTTGCCCACCCCCTATCCTACCAAGCTGCCACCGGCCTCCCAGGTGGAAATCACCTGCCCTTGTGCTAGGGAGACCACTGGCAGAGCCTGCAGGCCCAGCATTGTGCACCACTCTCTGCACATATATTAACCAAGCATCTCCCCCAGGCCAATCCCACATGGTCACCAAGGACTGGATGGTGACAAGACAAACAGACCCCTGACTTCTCAAAGTGAATGGAGAGAAGCAAGATAAACAACAGAGTGACACCATGGGATCAGTTAGCCCCTAGGCTGGGGAGGAGGGCAGGGAATCCCAGCCACCCTGGGGGCTTGTTTCCTATCTGAAGAATGGGTAAGTGGTTTGGTGGGCTGAACCTCTGACACCTCTGATCTTACCAGGAGATTGTCTCCTGAGGCAGCTGAGCAGTCAGATTCATATCTGGATTCTCCTTAGATCTCGGACGTCCAGCCACAACCTGTTCATCACTCCCAGACAGGGTTACAGGCTGGCAACTCCAGGCATCCAGGGAAGATTCCTTGCCTACACAAAAGCCTCTCACGCAGCAGGCCAACCACAGCGGTGGTGCTGTAGCTTCCAAGGGCAGAGGAGCCTGCATGGGCATGCTGTGTGACTTTGTGTGAGTGGCACAGCCTCTCTGTGTCTCTGTTTCCTCATTAGGAAGATGGAAATAATGGTCCTCACCTCGTGGAGCTACTGTGAACAGCAGATGGTAAAATAGATGTAATGCACTGAACACAGTGCCTCGTACACCATAAGCGCTTAATAATCGCACTGTGTTGTTATCAGCTGATTGGTGTAGCTGAGAACAAACATTCACTCACCAAGAGAACCACAGGACCCAGGATTCACATCATCAGGAAAGCCTCTCTCTGCCCAGAACCAGATGGCGTGACGGCCCCTGCCCCAAGAGTCCCAGCAGACCACAGGGTCATTTATCTTGGTCACAGTTGCAAACTCATAATTATAAACTCTTCTCCCATCGCCTTGGAGCCAGCAGCTGCACCCCACCAGCCTGCAGCAGCCGCCCTGGGCCCTTTCTGAGCTCCACCCACTGCAGGCCACAGGGCCAGTCTTCAATCACCAACTCAAGGTGACCAGATCTGTCCTCCCACACACCCTTCAGGGAGTGACCATATTCCAGGATGCCTAAGGACAGTGATGACCTTCCAGAAGTAGTTGCAAACTCTGCCTGCCCTTCCATAGAAAGCCTGGCTCTAACCACACCAGGGTGAGCCAGAACCTTCCCTTTCACCCAGTGCTGATCCCTACCCAAGTTTCAGCCTGACCAGAACAGTCGGGACTTAGAGAACCTCCTCTATCTCCTACCCTCAGATCCAGCACCTCATTTTTCAAATTCTGGTGTATTTCGGGTGGGGAGAAGGGACATGTACATCTGGCTTACAGGAAAAGATTGGTGTGGTTATAATGTAAAGATGGGGTGGAATTGAGGATTTTTTTTTTTAAGAACATTTAAACTCTAAAGATAGACAGAAGACCCAGTCTCAGAAGCACCAGGATTGTATTTCCAGTTTTCTGGAACCTCCCACAAAACAAGCACGGGGGTTTCTTAAGCGCCTTCTGTGTGCCTAGCAGTGGGGCAGGTGCTATAAGGGGAAGAGGAGGTGGAAGATGAGGCAAAGGCCTTGTGCTCAGGGAATTTGGGTCCCACCCAATATAGCAGCAATCACTAAAAATGTGACTAACTACAAAAAAAAGCATGGCCTTGAAAGTCAGGGAAGAGACTGGAGGTGTAGCTCAAGCAGTAGAGTGCCTGCTTTGCAAGTGCTAAGCTGTGAGTTCAAACCCCAGTACCACCAAGAAACAAAAAAAAAAGGTGAAAGTCAAAGAAATGCAGCCTCAGAGGGAGTTGATTGGCTTGTGGATGGATGGGGCATTAAAGGCAGAAGAACGGGGGCATGTAAGAGGACACAGCAGCAGGCCTGGCTTATTTGCAGGACGGAAAGGAGATGAGTGCCACTGGGTGATGCTGGAGGTCTGAATATTCGTTTTGTAAGGTTATTTCCCTTGCCCATAAAACATCCCTGTGAGACAGATACTGCCATCCCCACTCACAGATGAAGAAAATGAGAGTCAAAGGCGTTACGCGACCTGCCCAGGTTTGAGAGCTGGCGAGCCAAGGAATGCCACAGCCAGTGGGCTTCACATACCAGCCACTCCCACTGGGTCACATCAGCCTGCCTGACTCAAGGGGGCTCCTTCAGGCAAGGGCAGGAGGTCAGGCAGGCAGGGGAAGGGACCTTCAGCAGCCCCAGATACAGGGACTTCCTGAAAGAGCCCCCAAGCCTCCTGGGAGCTCTAACATTCACACACATGCGCACACACACACAAACCCAGCATGCAGGTCCCCTGGTGATCAAAAATTTCTTCAGGGATTTGGAGTCCTGAGATCCGGATTTTTAAGATCTTCTGAGGGTCCATGTGCTGGCATTGTGTGCCACCCACCTTGTTATTTCAGTCAGTTCTGGGAGAATGATGACCAGGCTTGGGTTTAAGATCTGTTGCCTCTGTCCTTGATTTCCCACATCTTTGGGGATACTGACAAGACTGCAAGTGCACAGATAGTGACTCCTAGCTGTCCCTAGATTTCAGGCCCAAGAGTCTCAGCACCTGAAGAGAAAGTTCCAGCCAGAAAAGCCCGAGCAGACACAGCTAGGCTCGGCAGGCCCCCAGGTGATGAGAAAGGGCACGACTGAGAAAGGCCATTCAATGTGAGGGCTGATGAGCAAACCCAGGCCCAGAGAGGCCAAGAGACTTACCAAAGGCCCCACAGCAGGTACACTGAGCCTCCAGCTGGGTCTCCAGCTTCCTTAGGAAAAGGTCTCTTACATTCCTCCTATCCCCCACTTCTCCCCTGTTCCGGATGAATTGCTCTTCTGGATGAATTGAGGGACATGAATGTCTTCATGGTTGAAATGAAACAAGTATTTGAGAGCTTACCTCTGGCAGGACATGTGCTGGGCCCTCAGATGTTTAAGAGGTTGTTTCTCCCTCAGGGTTTCTGGGCCCAGAAGTTGCCGGGCCCCACCAGCTTGTGGCTTCAAGAGACCTCTCTGGTGCTGAAAGTGTTTTCCTGCCCTGTCAGGTCCTCCAGCCAAGGCCCCTTGCAAGCTGCCTCCTTCCTACTCCACCCTCAAGGACTTCTGTGAATCCCTCAGAGGGACTGCTGTTCCCCAGCAGTCACCACTGGCCATCTGTCATGTTCTCTGCTCCATCCCCAGAAACTGTAGAGGAGGCTACTTAAAAGGTCCCCCCTATTCCCCAGAGGCAGGAGAAGCATTGTCTTCCCCCAGCATCTCAGGGCCTCAAATCAGGGACATAGCCCCTCAGTCTCCAAGACCTCCTTGCAAAGAACTTATCCTGTTGGTGACTGTGACCTCTAACCATGGCTTCAAATCCAGGCCACGGAGGTCTCTCTTTCAAATACCCCAACAGAAAGTCCCTTCTTTCTCAGTCCAGTTACAGAACAAAATCCCCCTCAGTAAATTAGAGGATGCTCCCAACCCAGGGAGGAGAACAGAGAATCTCAGTGCTTTGCAAGGATTTCAGCCCCCATTTGTGAACCTCCCAGATGTCACACCTACCACCTTGACCATTCTGAACACCCTGGGCTCTTGGCCTTTCTGAGCCTGGTAGGTGAAGGCAGAGGTGGTTCATGGAAGGAGGTCCCAGGCTCCAGGCTCCCCATCCTCCAGGGAACATCTTCCTTCTCCCAGCTTCACGTGGTCCAGCTAGCTTTTTCAGAGGTGAGTCTCATCCAAGTCCTGAAGTTCCGGGGAGGAAGGAAGGTCAGAGAAGGCCAGATGTCTGCGTCCCTTTGAGGAAGGGTTACAGCACAGAAGTGGGCCTTCCCTACCCCACCCTGCTGGCTGTGGCCATACTCTGCCTTGTGGTCTGAGAGCTCTGAGGCCTAGCTAGGCCTCTGAGTATCCTGTGAGTGTCCTCAGGACTCACGCTTCCTGGGGCTCTCCAGAGCCTTCAGCAGTGGGAACAGAGTGCTG